AAGCTGTAAAGGGGTTGTTGAGCAGCCATGCAGGAAAGGTGCAATGACACAGATATGACAGCCTCTCAGGTACCCAGCTTCAAAGGAGTTAAGATAACTGGGCCATCAACTGATGAGAGAATATACCTACCTGGCTCCCATCAAGGCAACAACGTTTTGCTCTTTACTAAGCCTGGGATGAAAAGGAACTCAAAAAGCTCACAGACCTTAGAAAAAGGAGAATTTGAGGTAAGCTGAAAGTTGCTGGCCAGGATGCGTGAGTGAAAAGACTGACAGTCAAACATTCAGAGACAAGGCTGAAGCATTTTAGGATGTTCCTCCCAACTCAGAAATGGAGAATAAGCCCGATATGCCTGAGATGTCTGTGGATGGAGAGGTTACGCTTAGGTAAGGAAGCATGTGTGCTTATTTTAAAATCCACTTCTCAAAGCACTGAACCTACCTGTTGGGCAAAATAAATCAGGCTTTGTTTTGAGGAAACTTTCTGTCTCACTGCAAATGTATGCTATTACAGGCTCCCCGAAGAGAAACACTTGCAGGGTCCAGCCCCAGTTACACTTACTGAATTGTCACAGTTGGTAGCCAGGAGACTGTACCCAGGTCCTAGTTTGAAAATGAGGGAATTGCAGAATTCCACCCAGACAGGTAAAGGGCCTGATGCATAACATCTGTAGGGCTCCACCCCAAGAGGAGACAGCAGTGCAGTTAGCTTGGTAACTGTGACAACCCAAACACAAGCCAGAACTCAATACATTGCTATTGCTCTACCCTTTGTTCATGGCTTTCGGCCACATTTCCACATAACTGTGTGGATATCCAGGCAGATTTGAATTAATTTTGCATGCAAGACCAAATATCAAATATTTTATCAATTAAAATCTAAACAGTATTACATGTACTGCTTTCCCTTTACCTTTTTTTTTTAATTCTGTTAAAACGACGCAAGGAAACTCCCCCTCCCCCCACCGCCTTCTCATTTACATCTCAGGCTATAGCAGCTTGTGAAAGTCATGAAATATTGAGCCTAAAGTAAGCAGAAGAGGATTCAGGTGGAGAACAGGTCTTCATGGAGACTTTGCTTTTTACCACTGATTGTAAGCATTCCTTTCCTACCTATGTGATCCTCACCACTCTGACTACCACTAAAGAAATTTTTCCCTTATGCTTTCCATCTAGCTATTCTTTCCTTAAGTGGTATGCATTCCTAAACACATAGATGTGCTTTCTGTCTCCAGGAAGCATATGGGGAGAGGGGGGAAATCTCTCTTAGGAAGTCTCTCTGGCTCGTTAAAAAAATAAGAGCCTGCACCTTTATGAACAGACCTTTTTGTCCTCTCATGAGTTCTTCCTCTGTTGAAAAGGTTACAGGAATATGACCATTTTGGTTTATGAAACGAAAGTTTAAGAGTCTACCATTTATCAGAGATTTAAAGAAGTTTGCAAATGTGAGAACCTAACTCCATTTTCTGATATCCTCTACTTTGCCACCATAAACATAAAATAACCACAAAAAGTAGTTGAACTAATTGTTTGCAACACTGAAAAAGTCCATCTATCAATATTCTTCCCTTTTGACAAACATTTCCCTTACATTTCAAATAGATTTACGGACAATCCATCTTGGCTTTCTCATGTTTACTTTCATCTGTGCACCAGCGTCAACCAAAATGCCCTCAACACTGTGAATCATAGAATCATGGAATATCAGGGTTGGAAGGGACCTCAGGAGGTCATCTAGTCCAACTCCCTGCTCAAAGCAGGACCTAATCCCAACTAAATCATCCCAGCCAGGGATTTGTCAAGCCTGACCTTAAAAACCTCTGAGGAAGGGGATTCCCACCACCTCCCTAGGTAACCCATTCCAGTGCTTCACCACGCTCCTAGTGAAAAAGTTTTTCCTAATATCCAACCTAAACCTCCCACACTGCAACTTGAGACCATTACTCCCTGTTCTGTTATCTGGTACCACTGAGAACAGTCTAGATCCATCCTCTTTGGAACCCCCTTTCAGGTAGTTGAAAGCAGCTATCAGATCCCTCCTCATTCTTGTCTTCTGCAGACTAAACAATCCCAGTTCCCTCAGTCTCTCCTCATAAGTCATGTGCTCCAGCCCGCTAATCATTTTTGTTGCCCTCCGCTGGACTCTGTCCAATTTTTCCACATCCTTCTTGTAGTGTGGGGCCCAAAACTGGACACAGTACTCCAGGTGAGGCCTCACCAATGCGGAATAGAGGGGAATGATCACGTCCCTCGATCTGCTGGCAATGCCCCTACTTATACAGCCCAAAATGCCGTTAGCCTTCTTGGCAACAAGGGCACACTGTTGACTCATACCCAGCTTCTCATCCACTGTAACCCATAGGTCCTTTTCTGCAGAACTGCTGCCTAGCCACTCGGTCCCTACTCTGTAACAGTGAATGGGATTCTTTCATCCTAAGTGCAGGACTCATCAGGTTTCTTTTGGCCCAATCCTCTAATTTGTCTAGGTCCCTCTGTATCCTATCCCTATCCTCCAGCGTATCTACCACTCCTGCCAGTTTAGGGTCATCTGCAAACTTGCTGAGAGTGCAAGTCCACGCCATCCTCCAGATCATTAATGAAGATATTGAACAAAACCGGCCCCAGGACCGACCCTTGGGGCACTCCGCTTGAAACCGGCTGCCAACTAGACATGGAGCCGTTGATCAGTACCCATTGAGCCCGACGATCTAGCCAGCTTTCTATCCATCTTATAGTCCATTCATCCAGCCCATACTTCTTTAACTTGCTGGCAAGAATATTGTGGGAGATCGTATCAAAAGCTTTGCTAAAGTCAAGGAATAACACATCCACTGCTTTCCCCTCATCCACAAAGCCAGTTATCTCCTC